CTTCCTTCCTTCCTTCCTTCCTTCCTTCCTTCCTTCTCTCCCTCCCTCTCCTTTCCTCTCCTCTCCTCTCCTCTCTCTCTCCCTTCCTCCCTTTCTTCCTTTCTTAAAAAAGTTTTAATGATAATCAAACTCAAGACCTTGTGCCACATATCCCCAGTGATAAATCTATTTTTAAGCTGCTAGATTTTGAGCAATAGATGACTAGTTCAGTGGGTCTAGTGCAATGAAGGTGAACCTTTCAGAGACCAAGTTCCCAAACTGCAGTCCAAAGCCCACTTATTTATCACAAAGTGCCAACACTAAAATTAAACCTGAATACTGAGGTTTTAGTTTGGAAAAACAACTCAAACATTAACTTCTCTTTTCTTAAAAGAAAAACAAATAACACGCATGCCCTAGGTTCACCACCACTGGTCTAGGGTGATGTCAGACAGGCGCAGGTCTGAGAGCTTCTCAGGCAGATCTGGGGTACACTTGGGGCATCAAGGTCTTGTTTTCTTGGGGCAAAGTAGGTCCAAAGTGTGTGTCATGAAAATACGTATGGATGTGATACATGTATGCATTCCATGTATGTGTACATATAGTATGTGGTATATATGTAATGTGCATGTGCCCATGTGTGGTGTGTGATACATGTGGACTATGTATAGTGTCTGTGTGTGTGTGTGTATGTATGCGCACATGTCAGGCATGTGTGGCTGTATGAGTGCATATGTGTCCATGCATGTGCACATGGGATATCTGTGATGTGTGTGTCCCACGCACACACACATCCATGCATGCAAGCAGGGGTGTGGACCCGTGTGTGTGAATGTGGGCATCCTTGTTGTGCGCTCCAATCTGAACACAGAGATGAGAAAGAAGAGCTCTTCTGCAGTGGCCTCCAGAGCCGCACAGCACACCTGGGCCATAGAAGCGCAGGAGCGCTCGCTGATTCATTGCTCCTGGAAGAAAGCAACTCTGAAGAGTAGAAAGCCTCAGAGGCTGATGATTTTCCAAATCAGCTTAATAGTGGGATCGGCCCTGCCAAGGAAACTGTTCAGAAATCCTGCTTGGGAGCGCTTCTGGATGAGCCTGAGCTGGTGCTGGCGCTGGCGCTGCTTTCTCCATGCCTGCTCCTCCCCAGCAGCACCCGAGGTCCTCACAGCCCATAAACCCCAACAGCATCATTATGGAGGAGCCATTTGAGGCCTATCAGGTGAAGCCACACTGCACACTGAGGGAGATGGCCAGAATCTGACTCCTTGTGTCCAGTCCAACCTCTGTGCTGCCTAGGAGGTCACACCGCGCAATCACTCGCGGCTTTGGTGGCTGCGTGCGTCAGCGTGGACGCAGCCCAGGACCATCGAGCTGCTCTCAGCAGGAGCGCCTTTCCTTACCCAGAAACATCTGCGGGATTAGGGGGTGAACCACACCCTTCCTCCCAACATGGGGCCCTCTAGTCCGATCCCCCTCAGAATGTGGAGCCTGACTCAGTGTCCAGAGTCGACTGTGAGCAGAAGCCAACACGATGCCCAAGAGCGCAGGTGTTGCCATGTGCCTCAGGGGAACTTGGCTGCCAGCCTCCTGACCACCAGCAGGAGGACAGGGGTCCTTACTCTCCGCTGCACTGTGGTGGTGGGGCAGGTCAGACCTGTCTCTGTCCTGGCTCTGGTGCTCTCAGGCTTCTGGCTGGAGGCCACTTCCATACCTTCCGCCTCAGCTCAAGCAGCGGCCTGCTGGTTCCTTCCCCAGATCTGCTCTTTCACATGTGCTCTGTACATGGCTCATGAGTGCTGTGGGCATGAAGGGGAGGAGGGAGAAGGTGGCCATTGGGAGGACCTTACTCAGTTACTTTTGGGGCAAGGCTGACGTTACTCAGCAGTGATGGTAACACAGACTGAGACGGCACCAGCACTTGGCCCTTTAGCTGTGCACCCAGGCTGGGGGCTGTGGCTTCGCGGGCCTCTCAGTACGCAGGGAAGTTGCAGGAGTGCTGCTATAAGGAACTCACTTGGATTCCTGGCCTGCTAACCCTCCCTGCATTTGCTCCTCCCTCTGTGTACTTACACACCATCACCACTGAAGGTCTCCTAAACCATCTGAAGACAACAGCAGGCATGGGGGTTGAATCCCTCAAATATTCTGGAGTGCACTGCTCAACACCAAGGGCATTCACCCACGTGACCCCAGGAATGACGGTAGGTTTTCCTACTGTGACTCATCAGAGGTGCACCGCGGCCCTCTGTCTCTACTCATGCTATCCTGGGCCACCTGGTCAGGTTGGAGCCTACCAGGTTTCTCTGCCACAAAGTCACCATAATTCCTTTGCACCGAGATGACCTAAGTATGTGTCCCCGCCAACTAGATAGAGTCCCAGCTGATAGAGTCCCAGCTGATAGAGTCCCAGCTAGATAGAGTCCCAGCCACAGGGTACGGCGTCCACACAGAGATGGCAGTTTCAATGAGTTAGACAGACACAACATACAACTGGAAACCAAGGCACCTGGAATATCGAAGGCAGGACATTAGAAAAAAGAAAGCCCAGAGAGAGAAGTCCAGGGAGACGCAGAACCTTGAGCCCCAGGCTGAGCATTCATTTGTACCCATGTACGAGGAATGGCCTAAGCCTGGGGACAGCCCAGGAAAGTAAACGGAGTGATGTCCTAGGATCGCAGGGTTGGAAACGGCGCTGCTGCTCCAGCAGCCAGGACGCAGGACACTGCACAGCAGTCCCCAAAGGTGCACTGCCCCAGCCAGGTGGCAAAGGTCTGCCCTAAGTCTTCCCTCCTTGGTGAGTTTAGAAATCTCCAAAGCATCAGATTTTCTTGAAGTAATTATGTTCCAGAACAAATCTCAAAATACTTAAAGGGATGCTGGAAAATAAATACCCCTCCCCCACAAAAGCTTAGCACCCAGAAGTGTAAAGCTCCTGGTGCCTGGCATCTAATATACAATTATCAGACATGCAAAAAATATAGCCCATCACCAGGAAAAAAATTGATTAACAGAAACAATAGGAAATAACACAGATGATAGATTTAGTCAGGAAGGACACTAAAACATCTATTAGAAATAGGGCACTTATGCTTAAGAAGATAGGACATTCAATCCCCAGTTCTGCAAAAAAATAAAAATAAAAATAAAATTTTTTTAAAAAAAATATATATATACATACATTGGATTTTTAAATGCAGGACTAGGGACTGAACCTAGGGCTTTTGCATTGAGCTACATCCTTATCCCTTCCCTGTTTTTAAAGACAATTTGAGAGTCTCACAAAGTCACTAAATTATTCAGGCTGGGCTTGAACTTGGGATCCTTCTGCCTCCGCCTCCTAGAGTTTTCAGATCATAGGCATGTGGCACCCTACTTGGCCCCACATTGAACTTCTAGAGATTAAAAACAAAAAGGAAAGAAATGAAAAATATGCTGAATGTGATAAACAGCGAACTAGACATAAGAAAAGGTGAGTGAACTTGAAGACCAAGCCATGAAACTATCAAAATTGAAAGAAGAAAAATGACTTGAAATAAAAACCAGCCAGAGAAGGTGGCATACAACTGCAATCCTAGGTATACAGGAGAATCAGACAGGTTTACAAGCTCAACGCCAACCTGGGCAATTTAGAAAGCTCTTGTCTCAAAATAAAATGAGAAAGGGCTGGGAATATAGATGAGTGGTAGAGCACTTGGTTAGTGTGGATGAGGCCCTAGGTTCAATCCCTAGTACCACCACCCTGACCACCACCACCACCACCACCACCACCACCAGCACCAGCACCACCAGCACCAGCAGCAGCACCAGCACCAGCACCACCAGCACTAGCACCATCATCAGCACTATCACCACCAGCAGCACCAGCAGCACCACCAGCACCACCACAAGTGAAGGAGAACTTTGGCAAGTCACAGAAAACTATGAAGTATGGCATACATAGAATTATAGCCCCATCGTTGGGGGAAGAAGAAAAAAAAATGGCTACAAAGTTTCCAAATTTGAGGAAACCATTCATCTCTAGATCTAAGAAACTCAAAAAACCCCCCAGAGAGCTAAGGTGGAAAGCCAGAAGTCTTGCCAGAACTGACTTTCTAGGGCTGAACTACAGGATCTGTTGACCCTCCCAGCAATAGGAGCAGGGCAGGAGCAGAGAGGAGATGGAATGGGACAGGAACCAGGAAGGGACAGGTGGATGTAGGTGAAACAGCATGAGAGGTTCTGGAGAGAGGAGGGCTGGCGACACGGTGGAGAAGGGTGCCAGGCCCAGCAGTGGCAGGCACAACTCCTTCTGAGGCTCTGACTCTGACATCGGCAGCCCCCCTCACCCTGCCCGAGAGGAGCCAGCGCTGCTGCTTCTGCCCCAAGTCCAGCACTGTGGGCATCTATGCCTAGCTTCGCTGTGGCTCGGGTGAGTGAGTCCTCTTTGTTACACAGCCTGGCCCCACTTGGCACTAAGTCCAGTCGATGACCCAGTCAGCAAGCACAGCAGATGCGCGGAGGCTGGCAGGACAGCTCCACTTTTCAGAAGGCCAAATGCAGCCCCTCCATACGAGGCAGTCTGCTGCTCAGCACAAAATGCTCCCTATGGAGTTTCAAGTCAAGGAGCAGAACCCGCCAAGTCAGCTGAGTGCATCTGGGGGACCACATGCTCGCCAGGGGGCCCGCAGCATCACTGAGGATGAGCTGCCACACACACTGCAGAATGGTGAGCTCACCAGGTCCGTGGTGAGCACCTGCCCTGCCCACCTGTCACTGCAGTGCGTGGCTCCTGGAGCCAGGGCCAGCTGCAGTGCCCAGGGCCTGCCCAGGCAGAGCACCAGAACTGAAGGTGGGCATGGTGAGAGAACCCGCCCTGCACCTACCTGCCAGGCAGGAAGGACCTTCTCAATGTCATTCAGGTTGATGCCATCTCCATCTTCCAGCTTCCCTTTTCCACACCTGGACCAGAAAACACAGACAGGCATTGGAACAAGGTTCACGTGGACATCCTGTCCCAGCTCTGCCACTGGAGAGGAGTGATGGGCAGGAGAGCCCTGGCCCTGCCTCCCACAAGGCCTGCAGTCAGCTGTCCCACCTGGGGAAAATGGCCTTGGAGGTGTGTATGTGTGTGTGTGTGTGTGTGTGTGTGTGTGTGTGTTTCTCTTCCCTTCATGCAACATCCAATTTGCAGGGAGGCTACAAAGGAATGGAGGAGCCCCATGGCCCTTCTTGGCTAATGACATCCCAAAGCCCATCACAGCTCTTACAAAAGCCCTTCCACCTTGTCCTACTGCAGCAAAGGAAAACAGATCAGTGAACAGAGAGACCAAGCAATGTTCTCAAGGTCACAGAGGCTGGCAGGGGATGGCAGAAAGCCTGGGGATGGAGGGTGGGCAGGCTGCTTCTCTCCTTGGCTTGGGTCTCAGCCTGCTCAGATGTTGTGTGGCCTGTGTGGTGGCCCTGTGATAGGTATGCCCTCAGGCCTGAGCCACTGGTCCTGTTTGCAGGCTAAAGATCCAGGTGTTCTGTATCTTTAAGGGCGCAGATTCTGACACAAAACTGCTATGCATGAACCCCAGCTGCAGCTGCACCCTTACTAACTAGCTGACCCCTGCAAGCCGCTTCACCTCTTTGAACCCCAAGTTCCTTGTTTGTAAAACAGGGAAAATTAGAGCCTAACATCAAAAAGTGGCTGCAGGACTGGCTTAGTCACTGGACTCAAGAGCTTAGGAGTTTATGATTCTGTCTGACACAGAAGAAGCATTTTATTTTTTTAATTTAATTTTATTTATTTGTTTGTGTGTGTGTGTGTGTGTGTGTGTGTGTGTGTGTGTGTGTGTGTGTGTGTGTCCAGCTCAGCCCACCAGGGGGCGGGGCTGGCTGGCATGTGGTGCTGGGGGATTGAACCGCGGTCCCAGTGCTTTGCTAAGCTTGTTCTAAGTAGGTGCTTTAGACCACTGAGCCATCTCACCAGCCCAGAAGAAGCATTTTAGATATGTATATTTTTTTAAAAAATGTACTTAGTACAGGGTATTCAGGGTCTTACTATATAGATTGGACTCTAGTGATCTTTCTGTTTACAGTCTCCCAAGAGCTGGGATTACAGGCGTGTACCACCACGCCCAGTCTTAACTGCCATCTCAGTGCACCAGGGGGCGGGGCCAGTATGGCAGGCCCAGGAATCGAACTCCTGGCCCCTGCATCTGCCTAAGCAGGCGCTTTGATCCACTGGGCCATTTGGCTGGCCCCTAGATATTTATTATTTACATGCATTATATATGAAATTTAATCAATATGGCTGGTAAATATAGGTAATAAAATGAAATAAAATTATAATAAAGAATCATGTAACTGGATCCCTGCAGCTAGGACTACTTTTGTGACCAATTAGACTCCAGATTCTGGGGCCAGCACAGCTGCTTGCAAGTTCCTCTATTCCTGGGTCTCCTCTCCCTCGTCACAGTGCAGATCATATCTCTGTCCTGAGTTTTAACTCTCACAAGACAAGCATTGAGAACAGCGTGGGTGCGTGGCAGGGTGCAGTAAGTGTCGTTACCCTTGTCAGTATTGACTGGGGCCGGTGAGGGCTGCCCACAGGCTGGCAGCAGTACTGCCCAGGTGCAGAGTTAGTGCAACTCTTAAATTTCAGAGTACCTCATTCACTTAAATATTTACCAGGCATCTATTTCTATTTGGGGCCTTGTCAATAAAATAAAGCCCTGGGTGTTTTGTTGAGCAAGTCCTCAGCTTTACCTATTAGAGCCATGAGCCTGACTGCCACCAGAGGGCAGCATAAGACAAGAGTCACAAAAGTCCTATGGACAGAAGCACTTGGAACCCAGAGGAAGAGGATCTGGTAGCTAGAGCAGGCAAAGGCTTGGATGGAAAAGCAGGGGCTACAAACTCTTCATTTCTTCAGCCAGCATATGCTCTGCACTGGGGGCTGGGTCCCCAGTTAAACAGCTGGGTTAAACAGCTGTGGCAGACACAGCCCTGCCTATAGTGGTCAGTGCTGTCGGGGACAGGAGGAGGGTGCTGTAGGAATGTGGAGGAGCAGCATGTGGAACTGACCTGGGCAGAGGGCAGAGGATGTGGGACTGGGAAGTGGGAATGGGACGCCTAACCGTGTAGTCCCAGCACTGTGGGAAGATGAGGCAGGAGGAGCACAAATTTGAGCCCAGTCTGTGCAACTCAGCAATTTAGTGAGACCCTGTCTCAAAATAACAGGAATACAAAGGGCCCGGATGTACACACATGAGCCTCAGGCAGAGTGAGTGGCCTAGCAGAGGCCAGGGGCTGAGCACATGGGCACTGCAGAGCACGGCTGGCCTCGCCTCCTGCAGGGGTGGGGGTGGGGTGCGAGAGGCAGACCAGGGAAGAGGGAGCTGGAGAGGGGAGGCTGGAGGCCAGCCCAGGTGTGGGCAGGCAGAGGGGTGTGAGGAGGGTGCAGTGGCTACCAGAGAGAAGAGGGCGCTCACTCTCCATGTCCCAGGCTGCTGGGCGGCAGATGAGGAAGTGGAGAAAGACCTGGAACATTCCTCCAGCTGCCTTTGAACTAACTCAAGGTGTGAATGAAAAAATATGGTGACTGTCTACATTTGAAAATGTATTACAGTACAGACATGGCCATCAACCTCCCTTAAAACACCTCCCCTTGCTTCAAATGCACTTACTTGTCCCACCACTCTTGCCACTCTCTGGAGCAGTTCTGGATGTCCTCTTTTATGGCTTTATTGTGCCTGTGTCTGCCTTGATGTCTCGATTCTATTAAAACACTTACCTTTCACAGTCATTTTGACTTGAGAAGAGCCCGAAGTTGCATGGTATTGCGTCCAGTGAACAAAGTACAGAAGGGCACATGGTACTGTTTTTATTTGACAAAAATTGCCATAAAATGTTTTGAATCAATTCAGGTTATCAAGGCAGCCAAGAGAAGAAAAATGAAGGAGGACGTCCAGAACTGCTTCAGAAATGGCAAGGAGAATGGGCTAAGTGGACTTCTAGCAAGGGGGAGTATTGTGAGGGAGATTAATGGCAATATATCTTTTATTGTAATAAATTTTTAATTCAGATGTTCACTGTGTTTTTCGATCACACCACATAAGTCTGCCTAGGGGTGACAGGGTGGCCTGTGAAGGCATCACCTGCATGTAGTCATCTGTGCTCTGCCCTGCCATGGCCCTAGGGAGAAGGTACTGGGGACTCGGCCTGACTGGAACGGCTGACATCCCTCTGGGAGTTTATGTGGGTTTCTCCAGTGGGCACCGGGCTCTGAAGCCACGTCATGCTCCAGGCCTCTTGCTCTCACTCAACAGCCCAGGGGCAGGCAGAAGGCAGTGGGCAGGGGCAGGCTGCTGCCCAAGTCTGCCCTGGTCGTGGCAGCACCTCCTGCAGGATTGCAGGTATGGGGGGGGGGGAGTGGCTACAGCCAGCTGAGTCACTGCTACCAACCAGGTTTCCAAGGCAACAGCCTGCTCTGATTCCTGTCCTTCCATAGAAACACAGACTGCTGGAAGCCTTGGCAACCGAGTGGTGCCCAGCCTCTGTGGGAGGCTGCAGTGGCTGGACACGTGGAGTCCATCCCCCATGGTTCAGGACCTTGTGGGAGATGGAGTTCCTTGCATCACCACAAGGTGGCCACAGGGAACAAGCAGCACGCTTGATATGGCGGTTAGTCCCTGAAAGCCGGGCCAGCACCACCTTCGGGATTCTGGAGCGCAGCATGCATCCTCAATAGACACCCGCAGGCAGTGAGGCAGTGGCATCACTTTGGTCCCCTGGGCCTCAGTTTCCCCCCTGCTTTCACCAGTTCTGAGCCCTCAGGAGACAAAGGAGAGACTGGAGATCCCAGGAAGACATAGTTTCCCTCCTGAAGCTGTTCCCAGAGGATCATGCCCACAAGGTGCTGTCCTTTTGCATTTGCTCTGTGTAGCCTTTCTCAAGCAAGACTTCTCTCTTCTCATCACGAAAGAGGGAGACCATCGCTTCCCTGGGGGCCACAGGGCAGACAGAGCAGCCTCGAATGTTCGTATCTGTATTATTCAAATAGCCTGAGGTAGAAAGAACCCAGATAGCCACCAGTATAGATGGGTGCACAACTGGTGGTGCAGCCAGAAGATGGAATCTTGCTCATGCAGTGTACACAGACGGGTATTTTCTTTTTAATTGGGGCGATTAAAATGTTCTGGAAATAGAGAGGCAGTGGTTGCAGAATATTGTTAACTATGTTAAATGCCACTGAGTTGTACTTTAAAATGATTACTTTTATGTTAGTGAATTTTGCCTCAATGAAAATTATTTTAAACAAATACAATCCGCAGTCATTTGTCTTGCTGCCTGTGGCTGGAGCCATGGTGCCCGAGGGCAGCCCAGACACTGAGGTCCATTTGAAAAGGACAGCCACACTGATGCACAGAGCTGACAGGAGAGACGGCCTCTGTTACACCACTGGTTACACCCTGGGCTGCAGCCTCAGCAGCCTCTTGGACTTGTTAGAAATGCAGATTCCTGGCCTCGCTCCTCTCAAACCTACTGTATCGGATCCTGGGAGCGGAGACCCGCTGGAGGTTAAGTGCGGTGGGGTTTCAAATGTTTGATCAAGTCTGAGACCCACTGGCCCCAGTGACTGCCAGGGGACCTCCGTGGGTGGTTAGGAGCAGATACTGTGGACAAAGGCAGTGATTTGGAGAGCAGTTAGTGAGCCTACAATGCTAGGGCAGGGCAGGGAGAGCACCCTGGGTGTCGGCTTCCCATGTGCCGGGTGTTGCAGGACCCCCACCTCCTTACCCTTCACGGTCGATGTGGGGCAGCGGCTGCTTGGGTGCGTGCCGGAGCTTGCGGTGGAACTGCGTGAAGTCCAGCTTTTCAGGCTGCAGGTCCCAGGTGGCACCACTAGAGGGGGTGGGAGGGCGAAAAATGGGAGTGGGAAGAGGGGCAGTCAGTGACTGAAGGACAGGAGCCTGAGCCAGCGGGGAAAGAGGCTGAGGGAGTCATTCCCCAAGGGCAGGCCAGCCTGGAGATCCCTAGGGACTCCCTTGGGTCTGCTGTAGGCTATCGCCTGCTCCCAAAGCCCTGGTGTGGGCCAGTGGCTATTTTACACCTGTCCCCTCCCCCTTGCATTGAGGAAGGCTGGGAGGGGGTTGAAAAATCTGCCACTGGGCCTCTGACAAGCAGCTCACAAAGGTCACAGGGACTCTGAGGTTAATGAGTGGGGGAGCAAGGGCTGGTATTCAGGATTCCCATCTCAGGAGACCTGGCACACTGGGTGAGGCAGTGCCCCAGCCAGGGTGTGCCTGGAGTAAGCCCTGAGTTCGCCAGCCTGGGGCAGGCTGGGATCCGAGGAATGGCTGGTGGACACTGTGGCCAGGCTCCTTAGCAGGCCTTTTAGGGGAGCCCGAGCCAATTCTCGAGGCCCATCAGGAGACTTCTAGAGTGAAGAGTCTCTTTTTTTCCAGACTTTCCATGAAGGAAGCGTGAGGCTGCCTCTTCTGCCGACCTCCTCACTAGCCATGTGCCCCCCTCTGCTCCTGACCTCTCAATCCCACACCTCTCTTTCTCTCTCTCCCTTTTAGTCTGTTTCTGTTTCCCTTTGCACCCTCTTTTCTCTCTGCCCCTCTCTCTCCCTCTCCCGCCTCTGCACTCTCAAGACCTTATCTTCCTCCCCTGGAGCCCCAGCCTCTGCCCTCGGCTCTTTTCCCTCTCTTGCTTTCTACTGCACCTGCCTCTGCCTCCCTCTAGTTCTCAGCCAGTGAGAACTGACTCAGCAGGGCAGGAGGATGGGTCAGCCAAGGCCACACACCTCAGAAAGGGGAGTGAGAGGAGGTTACCTGAAGGAATCGAAGGCATTGGCAGCCCAGATGTCCGTGCCCAGCATGTCCAGAGAGTTGTCTTTGCTGCCATTCTGGAAAAGATAGGGTGCAAAAGATGACATTATTTGCTTGGCCAGGATGACAAGTAAACAAAAAATCAAGTAGGCAGAATGCCTCCCCAAAGCCTGAGCCTGACAGCCTGCAGAGGTCACACAGTCTCCACGCTAGCCACCACAGGCAGTTTGGAGGCTGGAACAAGCCAGAAGTGTGAATGTCCCAATCAGGGCACCAACAGGTACTAGGAGAATGACGCTGGGAATACCAGGCCTCCTCCTAGGCAAGAGTGCCCCTCTGGTGCTCTACAGAGGCCAGCAGTCAGGTAGGGGAAGAGCCCAGGGCTCTGTACCCCACTCACTTTGGGGTCAGATGTTCGAATCAAGCAGCCTTAGTGAACTAACACAATGATCAACCAACCACGTCACTTATGGACTCCTTTTGTGGGACTGGCGCATTACACCTGTTCTGATTCAGAGCTAAAGTGTTCTCTGAAAGTCCCCCGTGTGCAGAGGGGAGGCCGCTGGAAGGCAAGGGACTGTGTGTGCGCTGTACTTATCTGTAACCCACTGATAAGTTTGTAGCTACCTGTGCTGTTAGGGGGTGGGGCCTGGTTGGAGGAGGCAAATCACAGGGGTTGGCCTTGGAGACTACAGAGGGTCCTAGGTCCTTCCTCCTTTGTCCCTGTTCCCTCTGCTTCTTGGTCACCGTTAAGGTGAGCTGCTTTCCGGCACCACACCCTTCTGCCATCATGCTCCTGCCTTGGAGTCCGCCAGTTGTCGCCTGAGTCGAGCCTTTTCTTTAAGCTGTGGCTTTCAGGTATATTGTAGCAACAGAAAAGCTGGCCAATACAGCATGTTTTCCCTCCAAGGTCAGCAGATCCTTCCCTGAGGCCGTATTGTATCCTCATAACTACACAACAGATAAATACTCAAGGGCCTGGGTCTTCCACGCCTGCAAACACAGAAGCCTGGGCAGGCCAGTGTGGCTGGCTCTGACCACCACCAGGTCTACTTCTGGAGGAGTCAGCCTGTGAGAGGCCACACCTGCCATCCTCCTTGTTGCCCTCATGGCTGCAGCCCATGGCCAACGTCGCTGCAGGGCCCACATGGACAAGGCTAAGCTTCTGGTGGTGAGGAAAAGGAGACCTGTGTATTTTGCATCTACAGACTATTGCCCACAAGCAATGAGAACCAGGTAGAAATGAACCTGAGCCAGGTACAGGGGCCTCTACCCTCCCTTCTCACCAGAGGCCCTCAGAACCATGGCAAAGAAATGGAGGCTTTGTTTTTTTTTTAAATTTTCTTCATCTTCCTTAAGATGGGACAGAGCTCATGAGCAAGCTTTTCTCCTCCTCACCCTCTCACACCCCGACTACCCTGGCAGTGGAAGCCAGCCTACTTCCCAGAGAGTGTGTTCTTTATTGGTGGATCCAGCCTTGAATAAGCCTGAGAGAGCAAACACAGAAAGGTCCAGCTTCCTGCTCTCCCTACAGAAGAACCTCCAGCCCAGGGAGAGAAGTTTACACAGCCCAGGGCAGAGGGGAGAAGCTTATGTGGCCCTGCGCTTGTAGAAGGGCTGGTGGGAGAGAGACCCAAGCAACCAACTGACCTCAGGCAATGCCCTTAGCTGTCCTGGGCCTCATTATGACACAAGGCCAGGGACTGCCAGACCGAAGCCTTAGGTTTTGAGTGACTGGAGAGTTTCTCATTCCAGAAAGCACACACACACACACACACACACACACACACACACACACACACACACTGTACAGCATACACATCCATAAGCTTTAAAAAATTATTTAAATCAATTGATTCTCTTATAATAATAGTTAGCTAAAATCACAGACATTTTATAGCTGTACAAAACATTTTATTTATTTGTATTATTGTTTTATAAGCTTTCTCTAGCTTTAAAATTTTAAATTTTTAAAATTTTCTGTTAAAAGCTCAGGTACAAACACAGAGCTTGAGGATCTTCACCATCACTGCCTTCCTCAGCTTGTGTTCCTGGGAGGGTTTGGGGCACAAGGCACAAGGCTGTCGGCCCTGGGACGGCAGTGCCTCTGGACTAGCTCCTCAAGGTCCTGTTTAAGGTTTTCACGGTGTATCTTTTTTATATAAAAGTAGGACAACACCCTAAATAATGACAAAAGTATATAGTACAGTAAGTACAAAACCCTGTAAGTATTCTGTACTATACATGAGTTTCATACAGCTGGCAGCGCAGCAGGTTTGTTTACCCCAGCATTGCCACAGACTCAGCAGGAATGCCTCGTGTTACACCACTACAAAGGCTGGAATGTCACTAGGTGACAGGAACTTCTCAGTTCCATTATAACCTCATGGGACCACTATGGAGGATGCAATCTGTAGTATCACTCATGGTGCATGGCTGTGCGTACACATACAGTACATATCTTACACACACAGACACAGACATACAGACACACACAGACATGCACATATACACATACACACAGACACACACACTGACACACACACTACTTATTCTGCAAACTCTCTTAACATCAGAGAAGCACAAGAGGACCTTGAAGACACTCCTTGGACCAGAAGCTGACACCCAATGCTGGGACGTCCCACCTCTCTCCAAACACCCCCAGTCCTTGCTCACAGCAAAGTCACAAACAGAGTTGGCTGTCAAAGTGAGCACAGAGAAGATGATCATGGCTGGGCTCACCCCAGGACTCCCACCCTGTATAGTCCAACCCTCTGCTCCCTGCAGCCAAACCTCAGTCTCCTTTGATAGCAGGGTAGCAGCCATTCTGTTTGTGACAGGGCTCTGAGGCCACACCAAGCCACAGAATGTATGGAAACCTTCCTCCTGGTCTACTGTTTCCTTCCTGGACTCAGAAACACAAATAAGTGTTCTCTGTACACACACACACACACACACACACACACACACACACCCCTGTATGAGCTGTGTCCTGTCCGGGTCCAGCTCTAGACTCCCCTTCCCAGCAGCTGTGCAGCTTCCCCAGCAGCCCATGCCCAACCCTACAGTACACAGCAGTGCGCCCCCTGTGCAGGGCCCATCCCATCCCTGCCTGTTCTCTTACTGAGCTCCCGTGTGCTCTGGAAGCTCAATCCTCCTGCTCGCCAGTGCCAGGTGCAGTGGAGCTGCTCACAAGGGGGACACTAGTGGCTTATACGCAGTGCAGCTGTGGTGACCCAGAACACATCTTTTGAAATGTGGTCCTCATTCCCTTGGAGGTTTGAAAGAGCTTTGGGAGTAAGGGGGCGTTCATAAAGCTCCCTAATCAAATGTTTGGGACATACTAAGTGAAAAGATCATTAAGATGCTAACATGGTAAATTGTTGAGTTGTCCACTTTTTATCACTGAGCTTCTCAATGCCATCAGTGGCCTTTGGTGGATGTTGACTCTTTAGATTGAAGTACAGAGCATGTGCTGTTCCCCAACCTTTCAAAGCCAGAGATCTACCCTGTTCTTCTTCCTTTGTATTCCACAGAGAATTCCACAGGACCAGGGCTCCCTAGAACTTCCCTTGGGAACAATCATCTAAAATTCTGTATGAGCTCTCCACCAACTGGCATCCTGTCCTCAGTGGCACAAACCATAATTTCATTTTTTTTTCTCATTTACTCCTACCCATTTGCCCTCACCTAGCCAGGACTGTGCATTAATATTAGCCCAGACTAGGGGGCTGGCCACTAAATCTATCCATCAAAACCTCACGGGCTTTGTAAAGAACATTCTCCTATTTGCGATTCTGTGGTTGGTCCTGATGGCCACAGCTTTTCTCTGAGCTCCTCCTCCTCTTCTTCTTCCTCCTCCTCCTCTTCCTCCTTTTCCTCCTCTTCCTCCTCTCCAGCC